GGCGGGGGGCCCGGGCGGGACCGTGGCGCTGATCTGGAAGCGCCGCGATCCCGCCCGGGTCCTCCGCGGCTTTGCTCAGCATCTCCCTGGTCTGCTGGGGGGGGGCGCAGCTAATGCACCCCCCCCCAGCAGACTAGGGAGACCGGGAGAAGCTTTTCTCGCCCCGGAGGACACGGGTGGCAACCCGCCGCCCGTGAGCTCCGGGGCGAGAAAAGCCCCGTTTGTAAGTGCGGATCCGACATAAGTCGGATCTGCGTAAGTCGGAGACTGCTTGTAGTTGTTTTTTAAGTTTTTCCAGTTACAGACTAACTCGGCTACCCTTCGTAAGCTTTTTTTTCCCTGTCTAAAGAAGTTTACCTTACCAATAAAATCCTGTAGCTGGTTGTGATTCCGTTTTCATGAATATAAACACGCTGTTTATTCACTAGGTCAGGTGGGCAGTAATTTTGTTGGAGGGGCCACTCCAAGAATTTGGAAAATGGTCAATGGCTGCCTTCTTTCATATTAATGGAGGAGGTGCGAGGCCTGGGATGGAGGTTGAGTGCAGAAGGGAGCTTGCAGTAGGAGATTGGGGTGCAGGAGAGGGTGTGAGCTCTGGAAGGGAGTTTGGATGAAGGAGACAGTTGTGACTTGGGTTAGGGGACTAGGGTGCAGAGGTTTGAGTTGTGACCTGGGTAAGGGGATTAAGGTGCAGGAGGGAGTGAAGGGCAGGGTTCCCTGTAAGCTGAGTGCTTGGATGGCCACCAAGTAGAGATTCACATGCTGCTCAGCTGATTAGCAGAGTGCCCACAGCCAGAAGCTTGTGTTTCCAGTAGTGGTGCACGTCTCCATGTGCTTTGGTGCACATAACAAAATTTATTCCACATGTGGATTAAAAAAAATAGCAGGACCTATTTTGGGGCAGAAGATTGGGGTGCAAGATCTGGGAGAGGATATGGCGACAGAGGGTTTGGGTTATGTGGGGTAAGAGGGCAAAGGGTTGGAGTGCCATAGGCAGGCTCTGACTGGGAGACTTACCTGCTTGACTCCCAGCCAGCAGCCTTCTCAAATTCCCTGCCTGCCCTACCCCCACACTGGCTTCAAGGGCCATGTGGTTTTTGAACAGCTAAAAGCCTGGGGGCAGGTTACTTCACAGGCTACCTGTTGATAACAGGAAGCTCCCATTGGCCAGAAATTGGCCAGTGGGATTGTATTGGTGGCATGAGCAGCACCTGAAGCTGCTTCTCCCTCCCCTGTGCTCACAGCTGTTCAAAGAGAGTCCTGCAAGTTTGCAAAGGCTGATTTTCTCAGCAGCGGGCAGGTGGTGGGCAGGGAGTCTGCCTCAGGCTCCCCACCACATTTGTGGCTGGATCTGGTGGCTTCATGGGCCAGATGCAGTCTGCAGAGGGTATTTTGCCTATGCCTATACTAGGTACAGGATGATGGAATATCTTCTTTGTTGTCCAGCAAACCTTTAAAATATATTGCAAGTTAAGGTGCTCTTCCGCCACTGTGGAAGAGATCATTGTTCTTCGTTCTGTCATTTCTCACCACTGAGAACAACCTTTCTCCATCCTCTTTGCGCCTGCCCTCCCCCCCCTTCAAATAGTTGAAGGCTGTTGTCAAATCCCCCGTCACTTAGCCTCTCTTTGTAAGTCATGTGCTCCCGCCCCTAATCATTTTTGTTGCCCTCTACTGGACTTTCTCCAATGCGTCCACATCCTCTCTGTAATGAGGGGCCCAGAATTGGATGCAGTACTCCAGGTTTGGCCTCCCCAGTGCCGAATAAAAGGGACTAATCACTTCCCTAGGTCTGCTGGCAATGCTACTGCTAATGCATGCAATATGCTGTTAGCCTTTTTGGCTACAAAGGCAAATGTTGACTTCTCATCCACTGTAATTCCCAGGTCCTTTTCTGCAGAACTGCTCCTTAGCCAGTTGGTCCCCAGCCTGTAGCAGTGCTTGAGTCTTCTGTCCCACGTGCAGGACTCTGCACTTGTCCTTGTTGAACCTCGTAGGTTTCTTTTGGTCCAATGCTCCTAACTTGTCCAGGTCACATTGGAGGGTAGGGATAGGATCCTGTATATTTATCTCTTTGCCCTAGTTCTGTGTTATCTCCGAATTTGCTGAGGATGTAATCTATCACCTCATTCAGGGTCATTAATAAAGGTGTTGAACAAAACCAGCCCCAGAACTGACCTTTGAGGCACTCTGATACCAACCAGATAATAAGCTGTTGATCACTACCTGTTGAGCCCAACAACGTTAGCCAGCTATCTATCCACCTTACAGTTCATTTATCTGATCTATACTTCTTTAACTTGCTGGCAAGAATACTGTTGGGGACTTTATAAAAATCTTTGGTATAGTCGAGCTGTATCACCCTTTTCCGCCTGTCGCATATCCACAGAGCTCCTCATATAAGGCAATTGGGTTGGTCAGACACGACTTGCACTTGGTGACTCTAGGTTGACTATTCCTGATCACTTTCCTCCCTTCCAAGTGCTTTATATCTCTCTGTTGCCTTTACATGTTAAATGTGCTTCCTTTTTGTTACCTCAGTGCTTAATTTAGATGCTGACATATAGACAAGTGAATAAATATCTGTTATATGACAAAAAACCTGTTTTTCATCTTCTGCTGTAACACAGAATCTGACTGTAAGAACATGTTTTCAGTATACATATATAATTTCTTATGTAATATCTGTACGTACATTTCATAACAAGTATTAACAACCGTTGTGATGTGACTTTCATTTAAGACCACCAGTGATGGTCATAAAAGTATATCCTGATTCTAATTCATTAAAGACCCTTGACAGTTGGCACTAATATCTTCTTTGGTCACAGGCCCTAATCTTGCAGTCATATCCATGCAAGCCAGACTGTGACTGACTAGCTAACATCTAATCAACAGTGTTAAAAATGGAACTGGCATACAGTGAACCTCTTTTTCTAGGGCTTCTAGTGTTGCTTACGCAGCATTGGTGGGGAATGTTTCTAAAAATTGTTAGGATAGATGAAAACACTGTTTCTTCTGCAAGAACTGATGTAAAGAGTGCTGAAAAATGCTTTTGTATGTGTGTGACGTAGTGGGGGTACTTGCTGGGATGTGGTGACCCCTGCTGTCTGGAGCAAGACCCAGCAGGGAAAGCCTCACTAGGCAGAGGTAATGCCAAACTTGTTGAACCAGTGGCCAGACACCCCCCATGGAGAGGAACAAAGGAAGGTGGAATGCTGCCCTGGCTGGGGGGCAGGGCTGGAAGAGGGTTAGTTAGTTCCTGGCTGGAAGGCAGGGAATAAGGAGCTGGGGAGGGGGCTGGGACTCCCCTATCTCAAGGGGGGCACTGAGGCCTCTTAGCCCCAGTTCCTGTAACCAGATTACATCTGTGCTACGCTGTGCTGGAGGAGCAATAAACCACCCTCAATTCCACTGGCTGGTGCAGTCTGTTCGTGCCATTTCGGGGTGCAGGAGATGGGGAACCCCCAACGCGCCATCACAATGTGTAATAGTGATGTCCTCAACTCTTGAAGGGAAAATACTCAATAACAAACTTGTGTCTTCACTGGTAAGTAAAAGAGGAGCTACTTTTCTCTTATTGATTTTAGACTTGTAATTCTCTGTCATACCTTCAGAGGGCACTTCAGACTTACCTTCTAACATTCCGTTTCTGCTGTAATTCCATCTAGTTTTGTCTGCCTACATGTGGCTAAGTTCTTTTTATTCTTCTTCACTTATGCTATAGTCTTAAATCAGGGATGGAGAGACTAAGCAGCTTGCCTTGATCCAGCTCATGAGGCTTGGGGCTCACTGTCACTGCACAGGGCAAGCCGGCACTGGTAATCTAGCCCTGCGACCAGTCTCTGAGCCTTGTTACAAGCTGGGGATCGAATGGCTAAGTAGCAGTTCTGCAGAAAAGGATCTGGGGATTACAGTGGATGAGAGGCTGGATATGAGTCAACAGTGTGCCCTTGTAGCCAAGAAGGCTAATGGCATATTAGGAGGAGCATTGCCAGCAGATCCAGAGAAGTGATTATTCCCCTTTATTCAGCTCTGGTAAGGCCACACCTGGAGTATTGTGTCCAGTTCTGGGCCTCCCGTTATAGAAAGGATGTGGACGCATTGGAGAGGGTCCAGCGGAGGGCAACCAAAATGATTAGGGGGCTGTAGCCCATGACCTATGAGAAGAGATTGAGGGATTTGGGTTTGTTTAGTCTGCAGAAGAGAAGAGTGAGGGGGGATTTGATAGCAGCCTTCAACTTCCTGAAGGGAAGTTTCAAAGAGGACAGAGAAAGGCTGTTCACAGTAGTGACAGATGACAGAACAAGGAGCAATGGTCTCAAATTACAGTGGGAGAGGTCTAGGTTGGATATTAGGAAAAACTATTTCACTAGAAGGGTGGTGAAGCACTGGAATGGGTTACCTAGGGTGGTGGTAGAATCTCCATTCCTAGATGTTTTTAAGTCTCGGCTTGATAAAGCCCCAGGTGGGTTGGTTTAGTTGGGTTTGGTCCTGTCGTGGGCAGGGGGCTGGACTTGATGACCTCCTGAGGTCTCTTCCTGCCCTATGACTCTGTGAATTGCAACTGCAGAATGAAGGCTTGGGCTGCACTTAAAAGTTAGGTTGATATAGATACATTGGGACAAGATGTGAAAAAACGCACATTTCTGACCAACATAACTATGCTGACCTAACCCCATTGTACACACAGCTAAGGGGCATGCAGAACATGCTGCGCATATGGGCCTACAGCCATAGGGGGATCCAATCCAGGGAATCCGGCAGACTGGGGCGCTTTATCTGCAGCTCCTCCCAGCTAAGCTCCCGGGGCTCTCCTGCAGGTTGCCTTGCTAAGAAGCAGGCAACCAGGCAGGTGAAAGGGACTGGCTGTGGGTGTGCATCCCTCCTCCCCTACCTGGAGCTGAATCAGCCCCTAGAACCTATCCCTCCGCACCCTTTAGGGAAGGTGGCTGTGGTGGGGAGTGTGTGTGTGGGGAGAGGAGGTGCTGCAGCTGCATGTAGCTAGAACTCTACTGATATTCTTCCCCTGACTATAAGGGAGGGAGGGGAAGTGTGCAGCTTGTGAGCCTTCCTCTCGCTCCCAGCTGCCCAGGGGAAGGATAGAGGAGACTTCACACAAAGTGCATACTTCCCCTTGCTCCCTGATCCTTAGAAGAAGGGGAAGAGCAGCAGTGACTTAGTATGTGCAGTTGCAGCTCCTCTCAGCCTCCCAAAATGGAGTCCTCGCCTCCACCATCACACTCACCCCTAAACTCCTCAGCCTCTTACCCTGACACACACATCCCGCATTCAAAAGCGTTAAAAGTACAGAGCAGAGCCACAGCGGGTTAACTGCCAGGACCTGGCCTGAGCTGGGACTGAGCCAACCTGCCTACCTGCTGACTCCTTATGTATTTTTAGTGCAGAGCCACTTATTGGGTAACTGTGTACATGACAAAATACTTACCAGCTATGTGGTTACCTGATTACACACAATTTAACATCCCTAGAGCCTATCCGGTTTGTGCTTAACCAGTTTTTTTTTTTTTTTAATTTTCAGGCAGAATCACTTACCGTTTCTGATCATACATATATAGGACCAATAATAGAACAGACAAGACAAAAGAGAAAGGGGCCCAATTTACCAAGTTCTGGAGCACCATTAAGCTTTGATGCCCTTTATTGATCGTTGTCTCAGTTTCTGCACCTTGATTTTGTATATCTTTCCACGTTACATAATGATAGCTTTCATCCATTCAACTTTATTTATTATTATACATTTTGCCAAACTTACATAATTTTTTCTGTATTCTCTGCTGTCATAAATTAACATAAAAAGAGCTCAACCTAAAACTAACAAAACCTAACCCTTCTTGTCTATCATTCAGCAACTTTCTTATTATTTAAATATCATAATTCACTGTGCATCCTAAAACATTCATTAGCATACCCTTTATTTTGGAAAGTTATTGAGAGTTATGGAAAACCCATATCTTTTCCAAACACAGGTTTCCAGGGAACTTTTTGCTCAAAGATTACCACTGTGCTTATAAATCATTATAAAGTCCTGTTGGTAAGTTTACCTATTTGCATTTTTGAGGGGCTTTATTCCATTTACACCCAAATGTTCCTCCAAAGATGGAAAAAAGCAGGTATCTACAAATTCCCAAGGATTGAGACTGTGGGACCACTGCTCAGGGGTTGAATATATAAGAGAATTCCATTGAGGTGGCTGATCTTGGTCTCTCTTTCTCTTACAGAATGTGAAGTATTACCGGGGCATTCGTGCTGCAGTGAGCAGGGTGAAAGGAAGGGGCGAGAAAGCAATTGTCCTAGACATTGGGACTGGCACAGGACTCCTGTCCATGATGGCAGTTACAGCAGGTGCAGACTTCTGCTATGCTATTGAGGTGAGCAATTTCTCATTGTCAGTACATGTATCTGCTGCTCAGGAGATGAAAGTGGCACAACTTCTAGCATGCAATTGGGAATGTGCGCCTAGTGTTGCTTTTAGAGCCTCAGTGCAATTGTTTCCTCTACAAAATGAGTAGTGTGGATGCATTAACCATTCTTAGTCATTGGACTAAATGTAGCTTGTATAATACAGGCAGTCCCCGGGTTACGTACAAGATAGGGACTGTAGGTTTGTTCTTAAGTTGAATCTGTATGTAAGTGGAACTGGTGTCCAGATTCAGCGGCTGTTGAAACTGATCAGCAGCTGAATCAGGATGCCGGGGGCAGAGCAGCTGGGGTACTGCCGGGTTGGTCCAGTAGCGCCAAGAAGCGGTGCTGCGGGACCAACCGGCAGTGCCCCACCTGCTCTACCACAGGCCCCCGGCTTTGCTCCACGTCTCCCTGGTCTGCAGACCAGGGAGACGTGGAGCAAAGCCGGGGGCCTGTGGTAGAGCAGGTGGGGCACTGCCGGTTGGTCCCGCAGCACCGCTTCTTGGCGCTACTGGACCAACCCGGCAGTACCCCAGCTGCTCTGCCCCCGGCATCCTGATTCAGCTGCTGATCAGTTTCAACAGCCGCTGAATCTGGACACCAGTTCCACTTACATACAGATTCAAGATGAGAACACCAGGCGTCCCCAAGTCAGCTGCTGCTGAAACAGATCAGCAGCTGATTCCAGGAAGCCCAGGGCAGATGACTTTGGGACGCCTGGGGCAGAGCAGCTCGGGTGCTGCTGGCTTGGTCCAGTAGCGCCAAGAAGCGGTGCTGCGGGACCAACCGGCAGTGCCCCACCTGCTCTACCACAGGCCCCCGGCTTTGCTCAGCGTCTCCCTGGTCTGCAGAGCTGAGCAGACGCTGAGCAGAGCGGCGGAGCCAGCAGACCAAAGAGACGGGAAGCAGCTTTTCTCGCCCCGGTGAAGGCGGGCGGCGGGACCAGGCGTCCCACTGCTCTAGTTCTCCGGAGCGAGAAATCCCCGTTCGTAACTACGGATCCGACATAAGTCGGATCCGCGTAACTCGGGGACTGCCTGTATAACTTAGAAGGGTTTGTGTAGAAGAGATACACCGTACGGAAAGAGCTCTTATGGGAATGTTATAGAAATTAGTTGTAATTTTCTCAGGATAGACAGTTTTTTTTCTAACCATGACAGAAAAAATCTTAATTAGTATAGTTGGAAATTAGGTTTTTGTACTGTATTTTCTGTATTCCTTGTGATTGATATGTGGCTTGTAGGAGTTAATGAATGTGGTTCAAAAAAATACTAGTGCTCTCAAAACATACTGTGGCTGTTCTTCAGTTTCATTATTTATAGGACCAGGGCTTCTCAAGTTTTTTTCATCATGTAGACCACATCTTCATAGAGAGACTGCTGCATATACTTTTGCACAGAACATAAGGATGATCATGCTGAGATCAGTGACCCATCTAAACTAGTATCCAGTCTTCCAACTGTGACCCATGCCATTTGAAGCATCTGGCATGAACAGAACAGGTGAATTATCAATGATCCACTCTTGGTCATCCAACCTCAGCTTCTGGCAGTTAGAAATTTAGGGACACCTGAAGGTATGGGATTATGTTCCTGATCATTTTAGCTAATAGCCATTGATGGGCCTATCCTCCATTCTTTTTTGAATGCAGCTATACTTTTGGCCTTCACAACATCTCCTGGCAAGACATCTTGCAAGTTGACTGTGTGTTGTATGAAGAAGTACATTTTTATGTTTGTTTTAAACCTGCTGCCTATTCATTTCATTGAGTTACCCCCTGGTTCTCACGTTCTGTAAACCAATGAACAACACTTTCTTATTCACTTCCTCCACACCATTGATGGTTTTGTAGACCCCATCATATTTTCCCTTAGGGTGCAGCACCGTAACTAAAAATAAGATACACAGTTTGAGCTATGCAAATTGCATATCTTATTTCAGTGCTATTTTGAAATAGCTTATTTTATCATTTGGTGCTGTCTGCTCAACGCCAAATTTTGAAGTAACCCTCTATTCCGAAATATCCCTTGTTCTTTGTAGAATGAGGTTTACTAGGACATTGGAATAGCAAGCTGAAATATTGGGCTTGCTGTGAAGACGTAGGATAGCTATTTTGGGATAATCTGTCATCCCGAAATAGCATTGCAGTGTAGATATAGCCTTAGTCATCTCTTTTCCAAGCTGAAAATCCCGGTCTTTTTATTCTCTCCTCATATGAAATCTGTTCCATTCCCTTATTTATTTTTGTTGGTCTTCTCTGTATCACTAATTCTAATAAATCTTTTTCTTTTTTTTTTTTTGAGATGGGGTAACCAGAGCTGCAACAGTATTCAAGTGTGTGTATGCAATGCATTTCTATACTGGCATTATGACAGAGTGGATTGATTTTAAATCAAGGTGATTTAAAATGATTTCAATCATTTAAATCACGCACAAAAATCATTGATTTAAATCAAGTTACCAAAATAGCTAAGACTGACTGCTTTTAATTTTGGAATAAGCTGCATTGAACCACTGGCACTTTTTTTGAGAACAAGTATAGACTGGAGTTCACTTGAAAAAGCTGAGGTATGCTGAAGTGAAATAGGGAATAGATACATGGCATCATCATTATGGTCTGGGGTCATAATGTTCCAAAATAAGTGGCATGTATTATATTATGTAATATAAAATAAGAAACTGTATTATAATAGATTCTAAACCTAGTTGACTAATTAAATAAGTTGTAAGGATTAGCTTAGCCAAACTTTTTTTTTTTTTTAAAGCAACATCCAACACAGCAGTTTGGAAGTTTACTTGTCAAATCACACTTATACTAAAAGGCATAGAAAGAGTCTTGAAGAATGATGTGTTGCAAAGAGAATTATTTAAGGTATTAGCCAGTTTATCTATTCAGAACTATCCACATCTTCATTTGAATAATTTTTTCTCAATAAACCGTTTTCCTTATGATGTTTTTTTCTTTCAAAGAGACCCTGTATCATCTTCGTGCACTGCTTACACGTGACACGTTTTCTGTTTTTACCCAGGGAACAAATTTCTTCGAAATATTCTCAGCTAAGGTTTCTCTTATGCCCAGAAACCATGACAGTTTTGCTGTGGCAAAAGTGCAGGGGAATATAGGAAGCTCTGTGTGTGCAGAATAATGGCTTCTCTTTTTCTTTCCAGTCTACTCCTCTGTTCGTTTCTGTGTTGTCTCTGTACAGGCAGTCCCCGACTTATGCGGATCCGACATAAGTCGGATCCGCAGTTATGAACGGGGCGAGAAAAGCTGCTCCGCGTCTCCCTGGTCTGCAGACCAGAAAGACGCGGAGCAAAGCTGCGAAGGGGATCGGGCAGCCCAGGCGCGCCTGGGCTGTCCCGCCGCCGGCTTCCCCCGAGGCTTTGCTGCCCCTCTCCCCGCCAA